AAAAACAATTTCACCAATTTGCAAGAAACTTTGACGAATTGTTTATTTCTATCGACATGAACTCCCTTTTGATTTTTATAAATTTTAGACTATACGTTTCCGATTTATGGGGTTTTATTCATTACAAAAATGGGGATTTTCCAGTTTTCAGACAATAACTCAAAAGTTATGAAACTTTGGTAAATTGTTTATATCTATTTTTGTAAGCTCCCTTTTGATATTTATAAATTTTTGAATTTAGGTTTCCGAGTTATAAGATTTTATTTGTTTATAGTCTGACAACAGATTTACTTAGCATTGCGCAACAGCACAGTGTTTTGCACAACAGCAAGAAATCTTTAATTAAATATAAATTCAATTCATATAACCAATTTCAAGTTCTTCGACTACATTTATTCAGGAACCTATAATATGTCAAATATCTAATTACAATCCAAATTCAGACCTGTATCAAGCTTGAATATTGTGTCCATTTTTGCCCCAAGTGTTCAGGGTTGAACCTCTGCGGGCGTATCCAGCTGCGCTCAGCAAAGCAGTTTATTCTAGTTTCCAGACAATAACTTGTGTGTAAATGTATGTATTTTTCTGAATTTGTACCATAAGGTTCCATACCAAAAAAGGAAGGTTGGGATCGATTTTGGGGGTTATGGCCTTTTCTGTTTAGGAATTAGGGGCCAAAAACAATATTTGTATAAATTGTTTATTTCCTGACCAATTTCAATGGGGTTTTATTCTTGAATTTTTGGGGTGCTTTAATATGCTGAATCTAACCGTGTATAACGTTTTTGGATTTTGGGCCCTGTTTTTAAATTGGTCCACATTGAGATCCAAAGGGTCCAAAACTAAACTTTGTTTGATTTCATTAAAAATTGAATTATTAGCGTTCTTTGATATACGAATATATCCGTGTATTTAGATTTTTGATATTTGGTCCTGTTTTCAAACTGGGATACATTAAGGTCCGAAGGGTCCAAAATTAAACTTAGTTTGATTTTAACAAAAAATATTCTTGATTTCTTGGGGTTCTTTGATATGCTGAATCTGTACATGTATTTAGATTTTTTATTATGGGCCCAGTTTTCAAGTTGGTCCAAATCGGGGTCCAAAATAAAACTTTGTTTGATTTCAACAAAAATTTAATTATTGTGGTTCTTTGATATGCTGAATCTAACTGTGTTTGGATTTCGGGCCCTGTTGTCAAATTAGTCAACATTGAGGTCAAAAGGGTCCAAAATTACACTTTTTTTTTTATTAAAAGATAAACTTTGTTTGATTTCTGACATCAAAAATATAATTAATGTTAGTCTTTAATTTGATATGCTGAATTCTAACCATGTATATTAAGAAATTGTTGAACATCCTTATATATGATATTGTTTAGTTCTTTTTGAATGACAATTGTTACCTGCATGATTTTCTATTTATAGAATTTATACACAGATTCACAAGACAGCGAGGGGCAAGTTAGTACAGTGTGCAGCAGTCAAGATTCAAGTTGGAGCCAAGGGGACGAAGCATTGCCTCTTAAATAAATCCAAATTGCTTATATCAACAAGGCTATTTATGTTCTAGGTCAAGGTTGTATCAGTCCACTTAGATCAAAGCTGAACACAAATATAGATGAAGCAAAAGACAGAACCATCCGATACTACAAAAGAAAGGCTGAGGAAACATCTGAAGCTCTATATAATGCTATTGCACCTAAACAAGGAACTAAACTAAGGAGAATTTCTGATCAGGTTTCAGTAACGAAAGGTGATGATGACCTTCTTCATGTTGTTTCCCAGATGTGCAAAAGTATAAAGGATGCAGATGTAAAGTGTCAACTTTTGTCTCTTGTTGTGAACCAGTTTTTAAAGACTGATTTGTTGACATGGATTCCTGAGATCACAAAATACCAAATAGATAAAGCCAGAAAACAATGCATTTGTTAATGGTCCTGGCTCATGTATACAATCTTCAAAGACACAACATAGACAGAGAATAAACTATGCCATGTTACAGCATGCTGTAGAATTCTTCAGTGACCCATCTTTCAACCAAATATCATCTTACACTACCCATGACCTAAAATTAGACTCGGGAGATATTCTTGTTATCCCAGATGTTGTTAGAACAGTCATCCATTCAAACTTGATTAAACTGTATAAACTCTACTGTGCCGACAATGATTTCAATCCTCTAAGTGACTAAACACTGTATCAAGTTTTGAATGCATGTGAAGCATCCAAAAGGAAGTGCCTTAAGGGTTTAGACAACATTGCTGTAGATGGCACCACAGCATTTGACAACATTTTGTCCTTAATTTCCAAGCTGAATAAATCAGAGGACTGGACGAGTACAGTTAAGAGCAGACTTTTAAATAGCAGACTGTACTTAAAAACAGATTACAAACTGCATATAAAAAGAGAAGATGAATGTGCCTTCCATTGCCTGCAGTATTCATTAAGTGATCCAAAAGTTGGTGCCCTTAGTGTTGGATGTGAACATTTGCATCAAAAGGCATGCGACAGATGTCTGCTGCTTGGAGATATTGTTGAAGAAGTTCGGTTGGCCATTTTATCCAGCTGTCCAGAGGATCAAGAAGCTTTCCTCCAAGACCTGGAAATATCAACAAGGCAGATTGCGGACTGGAGATCTCACATCTTGAGAACAATCAACCAAGATGATGCCAGGTTTGATCTTCTGAACAGCATACAAGGCAATGAAGTAATTATTATCATGGATTGGGCAATGATATACCTTCCACAGATGTTTAGGGAAAGAATGAAAGATTTCTTTGGTCAAAAAGGGATGCACTGGCATGTGTGTGTTGCCATTTTTAAAGATGAAGACAACAGTTTAAAGGTAAGAGTAATATTATTTAAATGATAATCCTATTTACCATTATAATGAACCTAAATGTCATCAAACATGGCAGCCATTATTACTGAAAATTTAAAATATATATATGCAACAAAAATCTTTAAAAACTCTGTAAACAAAAACATTACATTACAAAAATTATTATTGACCCAACAGCTAAAAGCTTAAGTGGCCCATTGATTAGGAAAAACTACAAGTAACGCAAAAAAATAAAAAATCTTTAAAAAAACAATTGTTACTGAATTTCATGGAAATAATGCACCAAGCTTTTCCACCACTATTCCTTAAAGGTGTAATACCACCATTGATTTTTCCCTATTAGTCTTTGTTAAATTTCCACTTTTCAAAAAATTGTGCAGAATTTATCTTTGTTTCAAATAAAGAAATACTTGGCATGAATAAAGTTTTATCATGTCCAGTACTATAGAAAAAATTTCACATAACATTTCATTGCATATAAGAAAATAACAATCACTGGAAGTTAACCAATCAAATTTTCCCCCTTTCTAAACCTGTGTACAAGCTTTAGTAACCATGTAACCTCAAGTTTCCAAAATATTCTATAGAAACCCCAAATAAAAAAATAATGGTGCTTTGAAATACCCAAGATATATGTTTAAGACCTAGAAATGTTTTACTGCAATGAAATGTAGGATCAATTACCTACAACTGTCAAATTCAAGGGAATATTTTTTTCGACCTATTTTCGTATACAACCGGATGTGACGTACTATGATTTGGTGGTATTACACCTAAACACACATTTTTTTCCAAAATGATTTGACAGTAACATGATGGCTGCATGGAACATAGTTAGGGAACCAACAAACCCTATGGGAAAATTTTTTAAGTACACATGTATACTTTCACCAATCTGAACCAAACTTGATAAGAATGATATTTGAAAATTCAATAAGTTTGTCAGTTACTTCGTTATCAAGCATGGTTAGGTCTGCAACTTCCCTTGAGTACTCTGGATTCCTAAAACATTGGCATTGGTGACCAATTGATAAATAAATCCATTCCCCATTTCCATTCTCAATTTTATTTATATTAAAATAATTTAATTTTGGATGTAACACGTCTTCTGATTGGCTGACGTTGTTTTGTTTATCAGCTCATAGACATAATTTTGTCATGTGACCGTGACGTCATCAACGTTTTTTCATGGTTTACTCCGGTTTAAAATGGAATTTAGAATTAAATTATAAGAAATGACTGTAATATTTTTTCTGTCTATTCGAAATAACATAAAAAATGTGGTGCACGGGTTATTCAGTATGCACCACATTTTTGATGTTATTTCTTCATAGACAGAAAAAATATTACAGTCATTCCTTAATGAGAAGACCTCATTTTGTGTGTTGCTTCTCTTCTTTTCCACAATAAATTAATTATCAACCATCCGTGTCCTAACGGTACCATGCACAGTCGCATTTGTCATTTTCTTTTATGATTATTCAGTTTCGGTTATTTTGAGAGAAAAATGGAAATAAGGCGTCCAGATATTGTTTCCGTCATTGGAAAGATTTTTAAGTCATAGACAAGACTTCCGTTATATTTAAGACTGTGAAAACAACAAATAGTTTTGATAGATACTTGGGAACAGGACAATTATTTTTGCGTTACATATTCTATAAATAGAGTGTATTTGCTATTTACTGTTGGTGACACAGTGGAAAGTAAACTTTGAAATGATAGTAAATAGGAAATACACTTTATTTATAGTATATGTATGTCATGTATGCTCATAGTAACAGAAGAATTGAATAATAGAAAACAAAAAATGACGGATTTTGGAAAAAGGAGGATGAAAGAAAAAAATTGTAATGTCAGCCTACAGAAGTTTTACATACTTTTAACAACGGTCTAAAGGACAGCTATTTCGCAGGTGTGTTTTAGTTTTATTTATTTGTAGAAAGTCATATTAAACACCATCCATACTTTGACGGTATACAATAAGAACTGATTTTTATTTTAGCACAAGACCTTTACTCATATAATGGACCATGTGAAGCAGGACTTCTTCGCTGTTTTATCCCTGTTGGAGCACACACTATCTTCTATTAAGAAACAGTTACCACAAATCACAGAGGCATACCTTAGATCTGACAACGCTGGTTGTTACTATTGTGGTCAGCTGTGGCTAGCAATACCAAGTTTGTCAGAAAGAACAGGTAACATTATATCACTTTCACCGAAATACAAATATGGAGTTTTATAGGATTTTGTTTTGGTACCATGCCCAACATAATAGGAGGGGGAGGGCATAGAAATAACAGTGAGTTATGTCCCTTGGAAATGTTAATGACATAAATTGCTTTGTAAGGGCTCCCACATATACCATAATTGCTAGGTTTTTTATAAAACTTGTATCAAACATTGTCGAATGCTTATTCAAGAATGAGCAATTTCTGGGAAAAATTATTACACCAGGGTTTTCGATATCATAAACTAGTCAAAACATTTACTAAATTTTATCATCGGTATAAGGACATCATTCGTAAATATAACTCAACATGCAGACATCTTGTACGTTCAGGTATTTCACATCCAATCTTTTATGGTAATATTCTTTACAAAGCACAAAAATGTCAGTATTCACCTCAAAAGCTAACAAAACCTTTAAACAGACTTATTAAGAAGGGATATAGTTATGATACTGTTGTCAGGTCATTAAAGATTGCATATTTTGGCTTTAATATTGATTCACTTATAGGGTCTTTGCATCGGAATTAAACAAATTTATTCTAAAACCAGTTGTTGGCATGACACGGGTTATGTTCTTCTCATATATTTTATGACGGTATAATACTAAACCCCTAACAGGAGGGATTGTGCCCGATATTCATATGATGAAGACATAATCTTGTCATAATGTCAGTAACTGCTAGTAGTCTGTTGTTATTTATGTATTATTGTCATTTTGTTCATTTTCTTTTGTTTCCTATTCTGACATCGGACTCGGACTTCTCTTATACTGAGTTTTACTTTGCGTACTGTTGTGCGTTTGTTTTTTCCACATTGGCTAGAGGTAAAGGGGGAGGGTTGAGATCTCAAAAAAACATGTTTAACCCGCCACATTTTTGCGCCTGTCCCTAGTCAGGAGCCTCTGGCCTTTGTTAGTCGTGTATCATTTTTAATTTTAGTTTCCTGTGTATAATTTGGAGTTTAGTATGACGTCCATTATCACTGAACTAGTATACATATTTGTTTAGGGGCCAGCTGAAGGACGCCTCCGGGTGCGGTAGTTTCTCGCTGCATTGAAGACCTATTGGTGGCCTTCAGCTGTTGTCTGCTCTATGGTCGGGTTGTTGTCTCTTTGACACATTCCCCATTTCCATTCTAAATTTGATACATGTATATCCTGCTCCACATTTGTAAATTTTAATCCATCTCCAACATAAAGATAAATTAAGGAACAAGTGAAATGTACTGTAGGATAATATACCCTTTTAAAGGAATTTTAAAATTGGTGTATTTGCTGGACCAATTCACTAACATTTAAAGATGAATGCGAGGAAAAAATAAATATTTTAACTTCAAGCCAGTTTGTGTTAGTATCACCAAGATCTTGTTCACACTCGTTACAAAAAGTAAGTTTGTCAGGGTCATCTATTTTAAAAAAAAAAGAAATAAGGTCAAAAGACACTACCAGAAGCACTCTCGACCAATCATATTATCTTATTCCTTAATATGCAAATCATATAAGAATTATTTCAATATATATGTTTACTCTCATCAATGTTTGTAGGTTGTATCTTTATAAATATGAAAAAAACAAAAGCATTATTTATTTTTTTAGGGATACAAATCAAACGTTATGATTATAGTGAGGCCCAGAGTGGCAAAAGCTACTGTGATGCTAAAATTGCCCATATGAGACAAAAAATGAGAATTTTCTCTGCAGAAGGCCATAAAATCACTGCAGCTATGCAGATGAAAGAAGCGATTGATAGTGGAGCTGGAGTTAAAGGAGTTTATACATCAGTTGTTGATGTTGATACAACAAAGCATCAGCTTAAAACACATTCTTGGAAAGGTGTAAGCTTTATCACGAATGTAGAGTACACAAGTTCTGGAATAAAAACATGGAAAGCATACAGAATAGGAGATGGTTGCTTTATCGAGAAGAACAAGGTAAAGCAAATGTTTCGCGGTGAACAACCAGCTACTTGTTTACAGATCATCAGTGATGACTTTCAAGATCATGAGTCAACAGGGCATATCAATCTAAAACAAGAAACATCAGCAGAAATTCATGAACAACATGTATCATCCAACCAAACTGCCTTTGCAAATGAACAAAGTTCCTCATCATCAAACCAGTCAATAGTCATAGAACAACAAATTCCTGAATCATCAAATTGTACTACAGTCTTAGAAGAATTGGACACTTCATTACAAGACCATGAAGGCAATAATGTTGACAACGTATTCTATTGCCCAGAGTAGGGCTACACCAAGGCTTATCAGTCATTTGAAAAAATTCAAGATCACATTCTCATTGGAAAACACTCAAAACAACTATTAAATGACTCAACTTATGACAGAGCTAAAAAGATATGGGCTGAAAAATGTGAAAATCTTCATGTTTCTACTCATGTCACTATTGAATCTGATCCTGGAGGTTGCAATTCTGTAAATACAGACAATGCAATTTCCCATAGGAACTCCCTTTGCGGCTAAAACTGTGACACTTTTACTATGAAGTTTCGTGAAAAATAATATCCCAGAAGGGAAAGTTTATATGCACTACTATTCTATTCAAAGGTCAAAATATAGGGCTGTGCGGCATATTTTCAACATTTATATGCCCTGAACTTCTAAGAGTTTAAACTTATACTAAAATTCTATACTACCCTTACCTCCATTTTTGGACCTCCTAAGAATTAAAATTTAGCCGCTACCATGTTTATCTAAACTGGTTACATTCCCAAGTGATGTCTCTATGAGATGAAACACAGAGATCATCAATGGGAACCAGTACGTTAACAAATTAACATACCTATATATATAGCTATGAATATTAAATATTTCCCCAAAAGAGGCGTGGTTTGAGAAACAGCTGTATTTACAAAGTGCAACCTATACAAACATTTATTCAAATAGAAAACTCTCTAAAAACACTTTTTCTCACAACAATACTTATTTATCAGAATTATAGCCTTAAAGAAATCACTGCATATACTCTAAGTCTCCTTTTACAGTACATTTTATACCCCTACCCCTGTTTCAATTTTTTAAAGATTTTGAAAACAAGACTCTAATTATTGCCAGCTTACCCTATGTGCATGTTTTCTGACATGAACTGTCTAAAACCTGTTTGAAACTATTCTGATAACAAATTGAAAGCATTTTAGAATACTATAAATGTTTTGTTTAGTAGTTAACCATTCCAACATTCAAGATTATACAAAGTATCCAATCCTGCCTATGTCTCCAGTCCACATCTTACTGTATGCCTCTTTGTCAATGAAAGTTCACAATTTCTGCCTCAAATAGTCAGTTTAGAATTCTTGTCACAACAGTATCATCCCTAACCATATATCTAACATAAGTTAGTTAATATATGTCCTAGAAGTGTTTAAACAAAGGCATATTTGCAAAAGTTGTATTTATGAAGATATCAGTCTGGTGCATAAATTCACTAAAAGTTTGATTGAAATGACTGCTTACATCTGATTTTTGCATAACTTCCTAGCACAGTTATTGTTTACTTTATAAAAGACCTTTAAAATAAAAAATCATAGCATTTACAAGTTAAATTATCTGTTTTATGACTCAGGGGTAGGCATTTTCCTCTGTTTTTTTGCCCCTGGGGCCTCACATTTGCTAATTTTTTTCCCTGTTTCTAGCAATGTGAAATATTTACTACATATTAAGGATGGAACACACTATTGTAAGTTTTACTGAGGTCTTTTTGTCATTCTAGCTTGTACTTTTTTATGCCGCAGTCACAAAAAAGCACATTTAGGCGTTACGGCTTACTTTTGGGTTATCGACAGGACAAAAACACCCAACCAGAAATATTTAGGAAGGATCAATGAGTTGCAATTACTGTGAAGAGTAAATATAAGCACTTCTAAACAATTTAAATTACAAATAGGCATATATTATGAATTTATTTTGAATTCAGGGCTTTAAGTAAACCATGCATACTGTAAACTGTGAATTTATGCTGAGTCATCATAGTTAAGGCCCAGGATTTTCTCAATCTTCATGAAATATTTATAAAACTTCATATTTGAGTTAAATTCTTTAAAATCTCTGAGATAAACCAGATTTTGTGAAATTCTGTATGTTCTATTTTTTAACCCTATATAGGTTGCAATTCTGTAAATACAGACAATGCAATTTCCCATAGGAACTCCCTTTGCGGCTAAAACTGTGACACTTTTACTATGAAGTTTCGTGAAAAATAATATCCCAGAACGGAAAGTTTATATGCACTACTATTTTATTCAAAGGTCAAAATATAGGGCTGTGCGGCATATTTTCAACATTTATATGCCCTGAACTTCTAAGAGTTTAAACTTATACTAAAATTCTATACTACCCTTACCTCCATTTTTGGACCTCCTAAGAATTAAAATTTAGCCGCTACCATGTTTATCTATACTAGTTACATTCCCAAGTGATGCCTCTATGAGATGAAACATAGAGATCATCAATGGGAACCAGTACGTTAACAAATTAACATACCTATGAATATTAAATATCTCCCCAAAAGAGGCGTGGTTTGAGAAACAGCTGTATTTACAAAATGCAACCTGGAACCTCTAGCAGCAACAATTTCAATATACCTGCAATGGGTTGGGCATTAAAGAAAGAGAAAAAGTATGTCAGATTTTCACAGAATGTGAAATCATATCTTACAGAATTATTTAAGAATGGAGAGGCTAGTGGCAAGAAAGAAAATCCAGCAGCTGTTGCTATGAACATGCGTAACATGTCAGAAAATGGAAAACGAAAGTTTTCCCCCAATGAATGGTTACAACCTAGCCAAATTGCATCATTTTTTTCAAGACTTGCTATGAATGCAGGAAAGACAATAATGTGTATAGACAGCTGTGATTTAGATGCTGGTGACAGTGATTTATTGGCCGTGCTGAATGAATAAGAGAATCAAGAAATCCATGAAAACTTACATTTATAGTCCATCACTCTGTTTGTCTGTTTGTAACTAAATCTTGAAGACATTTTATTTCACTGTGACAAAATTTCAATGTGAGGGATATCAATCATTTGGCTTTCATTGTTCGTACCTCAGTCGTCTGAACATAAAGTTTTGTAAGAAAGTTTATTGAAAGGTCATCTATAAAATTCATTTTTTTATGCCCCACCTGTGATAGACACTTTGGTTTTCTCACTCTAACTTTATATAAGTGAATTGATCTCTATGAAGTTTTACCATAAGGTTAAATACCACAAAAGGAAGGTTCGGATTGATTTTGGGGGTTATGGTACCAACAGTTAAGGAATTAGGGGTCAAAAATAAGCATTTTTGTAACTTCCAGACATAACTTGTGTATTAGTATATGGATCTCTCTGACATTGTACTACAAGGTTCCATATCACAAAGGGAAAGCATGGTTTGAGTTTGTGGTTAATTACCCTAAACGTTTAGGAATTAGGGGCAAAAAAAAAACAAGCATTTTTCTAGTTTCCAGACAATAACTTGTGTTCAAGTGTATGGATCTCTCTTAAATTGTACTGCAAGGTACCATACCACAAAAGGAAGGCTGGGATTGAGTTTGGGGGTGATGAATCATAAGGGGGTTCAAAAAATTTGGGGGGGGGATTTTTTTTTCCTTTTTTTTTTCTTTAAAATTTTCCATTTTAAATTGGTTATTTCTGATTTATATATAAAAGCAAATAATGATGATATGGTTTGAATAAGTAAATTAAATTTTTTTAAGTTCTTAGACCACATTCAATCTGTGTCAGAAACCTATGCCTGTGTCAAATATTTAATCATAATCCAAATTCAGTGCTGTATCAAGCTTGAATGTTGTGTCCATACTTGCCCCAACTGTTCAGGGTTCGACCTTTGCAGTAGTATCAAGCTGAGCCCAGCAGAGCATTTTATTTCCAATTTTACTTTTCCTCTAAAGCTTTAGATACATATATATATATAGTAGCTTGATGCAAGGTGTAGTTAGATTAAATAAATTAGAAGGATGAAAACTACACACCCTCAAGATATCATAACAATCTGACTATCTTTTGGATTATGGCATATGAAATGTGAATTTTTTAAAAAGTGATTTTTGTTTTTTTTGCCTCCAGTTTGAGCTATTTAGGCTGTGGGCCTCTAGTTTTCAATCTTTTAAATACTCACACCCATGTAGACAACTGATTGTTTATGTTGCCATTAACTTATAATTCTAACCAAGTTCATGTTATTTTGCTGGTCTTCATTGTATGAAGCATTGTATTGTAAAATAGCAAAAAAGGGTTCGAATGATCCCATTTTTTCTGAAATTTTAGCAGTTAGGCAATTTGTTGAAGGTCATTATATTAAGGTCAAGGTCAACAAAAGTTGAAAACAATTAACAGAATTGATAACTGAAGTATTTGATTGACAAATGTTTTGATTCAGTTTACTTAAGTAAATATTTTTTTTAATTGTCAATTTCAAGGGTCAAAATGGTTATTTGTTGTGCTGTGAAATTTGAAGTTATTTTGATAAACTTTTTTCTGGCAAAAAATAAAAAAAACACGATTTTTTTTTTTCATCAAAATATTCAAAAACAGCATTGTTTTTAATATCAATAAATGAAATGTTTCTGTGAATGTGTTTTATTAAACCATTGTTCAAAAATGTCAAAAAACAGCCTTTTTGGACAATTTCGCTTTCTCTGATTATATGTTCAACAGAAAACATTAGTGTTAACATAGAAAGTAAGATAGGAGATGTTCATGTATAGGAATGCATTCTTAAATGTAACTTTTTAACATATACTTTAGTTGTTTTTGCCATTTCTTTACTGAATTTGATTATTTTGCATTAAAAATATAGTCAAATTAATGAATTTTGATGTTTTCAATGACCTTTCAAGCAGTATTACCTTATCTTGCGTTACCATGGAAACGGTGGAAAATTAAAAAGATTTGAACAATGAAAAATAATAATATGAGTAAGGTGTTATAAAAAGAGAACTTAAGATGCAATTTTGTGATATCAATGTACCATGCTCTGCCTCCACCAATGAAAACAAACTGCACGACATAACTCATAGTGCTGAAAGTGGCAAAAACACCAATCACTTAATCAATCAATCAAATGACTTTAGCATTAGTTTTGAGGTCACCGATACAATGTGTTTGTGTCATAGCTCATTAGCTACACGTTTTTGGTTTAAAATCTTTTGATATAAGTATAGTTGTCTGCTCTGTTATTTTACGGTTTGTTTTCTATCAAGACATTTTGAGTGTTGTTTCGCATGGCGGGTGATGCATTTATAACAGAACGTTCGACGCGCACGATCTCGCTGCTTTTGGAGTTAATTCGATACCCTCAATTATTTTGTTGCCTTGATTTGTCTCTTCTACATCGATTTACGAGATTTGAACATCAGTAGACTGATGTCCATGCCTAATTTATTTATGACCGACCTAAATATACCAGAAAAATTACTTTATAAAAATAAGGAGAGGAGGCAAGGTTGCCAATGAGATATCTATCCATCAAAGTTCAAATAAAGTGGATGTGGATGTAAGCAAGTTTAGGCAACCGTACGGCCTTCAACAATGAGAAAAATCCATACCGTATAGTTGGCTAGAAAAGGCTATAAGAGGCCCCGACATGAAAAATATGAAAGAATTCAATTGAGAAAACTAACGGCATAATTAATTACAAAACAATTTACGAAAAACAAATATGACGGACATGAACCAACGACAACCACTGAACTACAGGCTCCTGACTTGGGACAGGCACATAAAGAATGTTGCGGGGTTAAACATGTTTGTGAGCGTTCAACCCTCCCCAAACCTGGGATAGAAGTGTAACAGCACAACATAAGAACAAACTATAACAATCAGTTGAAAAAGTAGTTCATATTTCCTATATTATGTTATATACTTCATATTCTGTATCTTTTTGATAGTAAATGCAGTTGTCAATTCAACTTTCGTCATTTAAATAAATCTAAAAAAGTTACTTGTTTTGCTGTTAAGTGGCAACTAATATATTACAACTCATGCTATTAGTCTAAATGATAATATTTAAAGAAAAAGATATGATAAAGAAGAATATGTTTCAACAGAGAATCACGTTGGACAGTAACTTTATTTCAAAGTTTTCGCTATGTCAATTTGAGGAAAGCAAGAATATTATCGTAATAACAAAAATGCACCATTGATTTACTCAAACCCTTATATAAACTAAGGAGCTGCTTATAACTAATTGCTCATATTCTTTTTAAATATTTTTAAATTTAAAAAAAAAATCACTGTTTTCTAAAATACTCGAGACAACATTTAGTAATACATAAAAGTCGCAAAAGCTCTTTTGGGGTTTGAATATGACCTATACATTTAGCAATGTTATTCATCTCAATTTCCAGAAATTGTAAAAGTCTTATATCAATTACCAATAGAGTGATTTTGTAGATCTTGTAAAGTCGTTGAACTTTGCAATTTTTCAGTCCACATCTCTGCATTGGAAAAACAAGATTGTCGGCAATGAATAAATCTGAAAGTGTATTGTAGCTTTTGTTCTTCACATGAAACGAAAAATGAAAATAAAAACGTCACAAACTGTCAGGAAACAGATTATTTCATTAAAACACACCAAAATTGAATTTGATGTGCAAAGCTCAATTATTATATACGCTTGAATTTAGACAATAATTGACCAAATATATGATTGTGAGTTTGATTTTGATAGTTGTCATTTAATGTGTCTTTTGTTTTTTTTGTGACTTTCAATTCAAGTAGATAATAAATGTATAAATTACAACTTTAAGACAACAAACAATGTCCATAGTTAGCTAGGGCTATTGATATTATCTATTTAGGTCTATTATGTTTCCCAACTTAGGTAGGTATCGGCCTTCAATGATGTCCTTACCATTACCATGTAGTCATACTAATACCATACCATACAATATGTATTTGACTGCTTAAAATGCGAGATCCTATTAAATATATCTTTATGAAATACATAAAGACATAATTAAAAATACGAAGATATTACTAAGTCCCTTACCTAACACCATCAGGTTATACTCAAAAACATATGTTTTCGTAGAGATGCCATCCAATATCATAAACAAAATGTTCCTTTCATTTTTTTTTAAATTTCTTACTTAAAAAGAAATAATACAAAAACATACGTATAGACTTCAAAAGAATCAAATAATGATATGGTGTGAGCAAATGGATTTGTATGAAAAAAAAACTAAGACTTTTCACTGATTAAAAAATGTTCCCCAGTTTAATGGTGAAATGGTCGTCGTAGTAACACAAAATTGTTTTAAATCATATTTGAAGGCGCAAACAAAACGCAACACCTTACCCATGAATAGATTGCTTATATAGCTGATAGTCAGATATCAGCTGACGTTCATACGTGTAGATAATTCTTTTCGTAGTCAGTTAACGTAAGTCACTACCATATGAAGAGTTGTAAAAAGTAAATAACAGCCATAGTACATTAGCATCATATATTTACAGGAATACATGGAACAGGAATTGGATTATGTTGACCCACATCAGTACCTTCGGACTCCAAAACATCCATCATCAACGCAAATGAAAGACATTTTATGGAAACTTGCTACCAATTCAAACAATTAAAACCAGGAGACTGGAAAAAATTGGCCATTCACTGGAAGTTTACTTCAGATCATATAAGATGTATAGAACACCAATACACTGGTATGACTTTAAATTGCAGGGTCCTGTCTTCTGTCTACTTTTATTGGTAACCCTGTTTTTTGTTTTCATTTTAGTGATTCCCATAAAACTGTACAAGTATTGATGACAATTTGTTATAAAAATTGAAAAAAAATAAAAGAAATACAGAAAATACAAAATATCAAAATATGTTTGCAGTATCCAATTGGTTAATATCAATTTTGATACAAACGAATACAAATATATACTACATAAATTAAACAGTCGAATTAAAACACATTACACAATTCATTAAATTGAAGCAAACAAATATTCAATGAACAATGAACGTCAAAACGTCATGCTCGACCTAAAATGACGACTTTGCATATATAAAGAAATATAAAAATATTCAATATAATAATTAAGAATATGCTGCTTGATATGATGATTAGTTTGCTATATATTGTTCTTAAACATTAGTTGTAATACGTTAATTGTAATTACCGTTTTTTCGGCCTTGTAAATATCTAGAAGGAAAATAAATACTTTGCATTGGTACTGATTCATTTTATATTTTTGGTCTCTTTTAAATTATCATAATCAAGTATCTTCAAGCACAATGTGTTATTATTCATAAATTCAATTTGATCCAGACCCGACATGTTCCTATGTCAGATTTGTCCATTTATTCAGTAAAGGTATAAAACTAAAGGCTATTTTTTGTCGTACGAAATTTTTTTAAAAACTTTTTATGATTTTAATATATTATTAATAGGTACAACTAGTCACAGGTATTCGACTTTTAATGATTTGGCTTCATGGAGTGCGGAAAGATGAAAACGTAATAAAACTTTTATTTGAAGCATTAGTTGCCATAGACCGCCGAGGTTTACCAGGTGAGTCGGGAAAATAGTAATTTAATTATCATCTTCACTAAAATCAAGATATAAGCGAGTAGTTGGAATGATAATACTTTACTTTATAGAATGGATATAGATATCCTTTATTACTAATCTTACTTTTTATTCTAAAGGCAGTTAGGGAGCAACTTTTGGATCGCAACTGACTTACATAAATTCTTACTGTTGTAAAAAAAGAATAACAAAAATACTGAACTCCAATGCAAATTCAAAAAGGGGAAATCTATACAAACTGACAAAATCAAACGCTATCAATCAACGGAACAAGTGAAAACAACTGCCACATTCCTTACCTGATACTGGCATTTTCCGAAGGATGATGGTTTAAACCTGATTTTATAGCTAGCTAAACCTGCCACGTGTATGACAGTTGTGTATAGTTCCGCTATACTGACAAAATTGGGCAAATTTTATTTTATTTTATATACTGAGTTGTTTGGGTCTGACAATGGTACCAAATTCAGTCCTACTGTGTTATCTGGATTTACGTTTTTCATTCATTTCTGTAGATATTCATCTGTTTGGTTTTAGTACATTAGTGTCTACATATAAAGATATAAAAAAATCCACATGATGTAGCTTGATAACGAACTCTGTGACAGACTTTTTAATATAATGTTGGAAATAGAATTAGATACAACTATTAGGTTTGCGATATTTGGTAAATGCATTTTCACTTTTTGTTTATACTCTCATACATACTTAAAGAGATATTTTGAAAATGCATTTTCACTATTTGTTTATACTCTCATACATCCTTTAAACACGAATATGAATTGACTATTTCTAATTCTATTCTTTTGCAGAACAAATGCGAGGAAAATCAGAAGCTCGTTCACCGAAAGTTTGCATGGGAAAGATGTGTGCCATGTGTTGACTGTAGCCGAGGAAGAATTTCAACATTTATCTTATTCCAACTAGAAATACTACAAAGTGATTACGAAGTAATTTTCATCCGAACATCACAATTATAACATACATACATAAGACCTAGGTGTCATTTATGGTTATGGATGCATATTTAAATTGATCTCAGCATATACTTTTGAATATCATTTGAGTTTTGAAAGAAAACGTGCATAATCTCATCATTATGCATAAACTTCTAGTCATCTTTTTTAATTGCTTGTCTTTTGTATGGAATACTTAATATGATTTTATTCATCATTTATTAAATGAACGTTTTATGAATGCCTAAAATATGCATGCTAGTATATTATAAAGATGTAGTTTTAGAGAACTTTCCTTCAATTTATGTATTTTACCGTATAATTTATCGAATGTTTTTTAATTATGACTATATAAACTTTATATTTATACTTACTGATTTTAGTTGGGATAAAGGGTGAGAAAATACAAGTTTGAACTAAGCCTGTTTGCACTATTTTATTTACATCTTATGTGCTGCTTTACTTGATTTAATGGCTTTCATTACTATTGCAAGCAAAACGATTCCTTTTACTTACGACTTCAGGAGGAATCACCTATGACTTCATATTCGTTTATCTGGCAACACTTGTGCAGTATTTACCACAAGGAATAACTAAGTATAAAAAAGAAGGTGTGGTATGATTGCCAATGAGACAACTCTCCACAAGAGACCAAATGACACAGAAATTAACAACTATAGGTCAAGATAAAGGGGGTACGGGTAGCGTAAAGGGGGTACGGGCAAAGGTCTGCTTATATAAAGACTTCCCTTTTGTTAACTAACTAACTAAGGAAAAGAACACCGGTTAAGTACCTATCTTTCACAGATGATAGCGGATATGTTGCTAATGTCGTAACTACAATCCCGTACCCTTTTCCCGAATTTGACCTACCGATTTTGTACTAATATACTAACAGGAGCAACATGACGGGTGCCACATGTGAAACAGGATCTGCTTACCCTTCCGAAGCACCAGATATCACCCCCGGTTTTAAGTGGGGTTCGTGTTGCTCAGTCTTTAGTTTTTTTGATTTTGTCATTTGATAAAGGACGTTCCGTTTTGGATTTTCCTTGGATTTCGTTTTTTTTTCATTTTACTTTTTGCAACATCTTCATGTCCGTCAGGTAGGGTACATCTAACCTCGACTTCATTCCATGGATCTGTGATCAAGATTAAATTTACGTGGTCAAGTCCGTTTTTTCAGATATTATAAGAAACAGGGCCACTATATTTGGTGTATGGAATGATTGTAAGGTGTACATGTCAGACTGACAGGTTTTATCTGACCTTCACTTCAATTTCATGGTTCATTTGACAATGTGTAGTTTGTGGTTTCGTCTATTTCTGAGGTTCTATTAGCAATGACCACTATATTTGATCTATGGAATGATTGTAAGGTGTACATGTCTGTCTGGTATGGTTTATCTGACATTGACCTCATAGAATATCAATAATTATAAGTTAATGTGATACTTGTAGTAAAACCTTCATATTACGGACTTTCAACATTAATTCAATGATAAGTCAAACAGGTGAGACATATCAGCCTTATCGTTAGTTTTGGTTATTACTATGTGCATATCTTATCCAAAGCAAGATGGTATTTTGAAGATTTATACAGATAAATGTATCATTTTAGCTATTTAAATGACGAAGCACTGAATGACGTATAAGTTCTACAATTCACTGTATTTCAAGTCAAAAGCTGTTGTTCCTTGTACATGTAGCTGTACAAGGACTCTAATTAATCTTAAGTTCAGAAACTTTATTAATAGTACAATACTCTACATATTCCAAGCAGACGTATGTTAAATAATTATATTGATAGTATTTCTATTTAACCAGGCTTGTTTTTGGTTGTTTTATTTAACGAAAGTTGGTCCCAGGTAAGAGTTGTCTTATTTACACTCTTCCTACATCTTTTTTTTATATCATACCTGTAACGTCTATGTTATATAGGCACCTACGTTTTAATATTGTATTTATATTGTGTCATAGATCAAATTGATTCGTTCAGTGTATGTTTACTTGTTTTATTTAAATGTCTTTTTGATCGAGTTAAGCCATTTAAATTGATATTTTATAGTGTGTCTTTTTATGTTGTAATGTTGCAGGTTAGGGTGAAGGTTGGTGTCTTTTAAAACGTTTAAACCCGCTGCATTTTTATGCACCTGTCCTAAGTCAGTAGCCTGTTGTTTAGTGGTTGTCGTCTGTTGGTGTGGTTCATAGGTGTTTCTCGTTCCTGGTTTTTTATATAGATTAAACCGTTGATTTTCCTTTTTTAATTGTTTTACACTAGTCATTTTTTGGGCCCTTTATAGCTTGCTGTTCGGTGTGAGCCAAGGCTCCGTGTTGAAGACCGTACTTTGACTTATAACTGTTAACTTTTTATACATTGTGACTTGGATGGAGAGTTGTCTCATTGCCACTCATACCAAATCTTCTTATTTATATTGATTTCCCTACAGTTGTATTAACATATTATGTTTCTTAAGATGTCAGTATAATCATAAAGGACTAGATTTATGAATTATCAAACCCTAACTGGAGTTACTGAATTAATAATTGATATTGCCCTGTCATGAGTTTCACAAGCTTACAAAAGTAATAATCAATAAATAAATTTACGTTTGAACGTATAAGGAGGGTTTCTTGACGTTCTTATTTAACTTAAATTGCTTTAAATCTGTAACTTTGACCTGCCTGATGGACAAGGTAATACATACTTGTTTAAAAAAAAAAAGGGGAAAACATTTACGTTTATTTATTTAAAAAAATAAATTGGGGAAGAGGCATTTTTTTTGCTGCTGTTTTTGTCTGTTTATTCTTGTTTTTTTAGAAGGGCTTATATTCCACATGTCTCTTATTAAGATAGATAAGCAATAGCATAAGCTTTTAATGACTGTTATCACATCTGATTAATTCTTTCTGCTTTGAAAAACGATGAAAAATTAATTTCGTGTTTACGTAAATTGTTCCTTGAAAACAAGACAAAAGATGTTCAAGATAACATAGGATTCTTAATTGACAACAATTCTTATGAAATTTATTGATACATATACTTTGTACATCAAGAAAGAAGTACATTGATCGAATCTGGAAAACAACTTCATCAAAGATACCAGTCTTAGATGTCATACTCTATATAAGACACCTCAGTGACGCTCGTTTCAAAGCAGTTGGATTGACAAATCAAAATCATTTGCGAGAGAAACATTTACATTCATGAATACCAAACCTTATCAAATTACGAGTAGAAGAAAGTGTGAATAAGTAATGAATATCGTAACTTTTTGGTTTTCTGTTTTGTTTTCATCTTATATTCAACTGTTTTTACCATGCCTCATTTTATCACACTTAAAAAAATTGAAATGAGAAAATCAAATTAACGTTACAAATTTATATTTGATGCACTTTACTCATATAAAATGACCAGAAAACATGGTAAAATCATCTCCATAAAGTTTCCCTGAAATACGTGGATGAATGACATAGATTTGATCCCCTTCCTCCAATTCCAGTATAACCTGAAGAGATCCCGATGAATACTTATCATAAGCAGCATGGCCACTTACAATTGTTATGTTGTTCTTCATCAGTTGCAGTTCCAGCCACTCCATTTTATCACCTTTGATGAAATTTACTGCAAATTCGTAGGTCCCATTGAGTGGAACCGTAAACACTCCGGTATTTGAGTCGTATCCACTCCCGATGTTTGTCGTAATAGCATTAAATTTAACTACGCTGTTAGATTTAAGGGTCACTGAGCGATCGGGTGGCTTTAAACGTGCAAAAAATGCCGGTTTTTTGAAGGTTTCTTCTTTTTCTAAAAAAGAAAAACCGATTTCATTATAATTTTAACAAATGAATATTTAGGCTATTTTATAAAATAACAGTTGTGTAAAATAAATATATGATCATTAACAGGAGAGTGAGTGCAAGATAAATTTTGTTTTAATGTGAGGTTTTAAAAATTCGTATCATGTTAAGTTTTTTGCATCCACCTGGTTCTCACAAAATATATACGATCCGATTTATCTTCGACGGTCAAAGTGAGCTCTTTGCCGCGTGGATCTTGTGGAAATCTTTAAAATTTTGGATAGTAACTTTTGATAGAGGCAATAATTATTTGTATATTATTATATTTTACTATAGTAACCTCTAAGGAAATGATCACTCGAAATTTCCATTTTAACGGGAAACTGCGCGAACGCAAAATAACTGTTTCAGAATATGTACGTGTAAAAAATAAGCCCATATTTTGCTGGAAGGTAATTGAGAAAATAAAAATAATCTGTTTGGATTGTGCCAGCTTATTTTCGACGTATGACTTTCAATGTCCCTTTGATATCTTTCACCTCTCTATTCCTCATCAAGAAATAATATCAAAACTATCATATTTGAAAAGGTTATTTTCATTCGGTTCTATGGACCTTGGGAAATTAGCTTTTCTCGATTTAATAATTGTTTACATTAATTTCTGAAGGAGTCAATAGTTGTGTATTATTTCATGACGTCGTAAGCTAGCATTGTCCTTTAACTTCACGTTCCGCTATAAAAGATGATTTCCTTTTACTGAAAAATTCAAAGGTTGGTGACTATGTTGAACGCATCTATCATGTCTATCCCATCGAACTTGAAATTAAGGATACAACAGTTTGGTTTGCCAAATATCTTGAATTACATTTAAAAGATGATCACAACTGTACCTCAAAAAAGGTGAGTTCAGCTTCTAAATTGTGAATATTCCATTTTTGGGTAGCAACATGCATGCAGCGCCTGCTTATGGAGTGTATATATATATATATATATAGCAGTTGATACGAATTTACATAGCTTGCATTTACAATCATGATCTCCTTGATAAAGGGTTGCTGCTTCCAATGAAGTTTCTCAAGCAAGAGTTTCCAGTTGTAAAGTTGAACTCATCAGTTTGAAAAATTTACCTACGTCATCTCCTGATCTTCTCACCCTTTCGGAGCACATGAGATCACCTTCGGTTTTTGTTGGGGTTCGTGTCCCTCTTTTCTATGTAGTGTTTTGTAGACTCTTGTTTGTCTTTTCGTCGTTTGTCGTTTTTTTTTCCTTGGCATTGTTAGGTCGTTTTCAACTTATAAGTTTGACTATACCTTAGGTATCTTCTGCCTCTTTGTTTTAAACAGGCGAATCTAGGACCCAGATATGATATAGTCTATTACTTCTTTTCTTATGTTGCGCGGAGAAAATAAGGCATATGAACGCTAAATGAATGTTAATATCAATTTTGACCGAGCGTATCGTCGATCAAAATTGATAAAACGTTTGATCAAGAAACATTACTTTTGGTGTTACGATAAATATCTGCAGTCATATAATCAACAGTTTTGATATAAAATTAATTTCAGAAATAGATATATGAATAAGGGTCTGATTGATGACACAGAGTGACAATATGTACATTTTTGTTTCAATTATGTTAATATTTTATGAAAATATATATCAAACATACTTCTAACGTTGTTCTGTTACATCACGGTCTCATGTAATTCTTAATATGTCTGTGCAAAGTCAGGAGTTATGTAGTGGTTGTCGTTGGTTAGTATCTGTCATCTTTCTTAGTTTGTTTATTGTTTTGTCCTAGATCAAACCTTTGGTTATCTCGTTCGAATTGGTGTAATTTCCATCTTGTCAAGTTTATATTGCTGTTTTTTCCACAATAAGTTTTCTTTCGTTTTTGAAGGCCGAGGGTGACTTATAGCTGCTTAAATCGACATCATTTGACTATACTGGATAGTTGTATCATTGACAATCATATCATACCGCCATATTTCTTTTATACTAACCTTTTCCAGATGTCAGGGCATGAGCGGAATTGTTTTGTGTTTTCATCAGGACTTCATAAGTCTTCTCCATGTTTACTCTTAGTTCAGCTGAAATGAGTTTGTTAACTTATTAACAGAGGAAATATAAAAAACGCCATTGTAGAAAGAACAGAACATAATACCCCCCCCCCCCCCCCCAAACCAAACTTAAAAAATTGAGCAGAAGACGACATTTGAATGGCTAAATGTGGTCTCCATCGATAACAACCAGGGACTAAATGATCATTATAGTTCAACAATATTGAGCATGTTGTTTGTAATTTGATTTTTGTCTAGGTAGAAAACTCCTATTCATAATATTATGTGTCTAGTTTCCACGCATGCACACTTGCCCGATATATCTATCAAGTAAAAAATATTATTTGATGAATTTACGTAATTTTAGGTAAAAATATAAATCTTTACAAGGTTTTTTTTCAGCTGCAAGAACATGAAGAAACATGTACATGATTAAACTGATATCTATGTTTACTTACCATGCAATGTAAAATAAGTTACAGCTAGTACCAATCCAGAAAAAACCAAACATATAGTCAGTGTCAGTAATAAAAATTTGAGCCATTGCTTCCACGACAGTGTAAGCTCATTGCCCATATCAAGCTTGTTGTAGGAATGCTCGTATTCATGTGAACTGCGTTCTTCAAAACCCTCCATTTCTATATTCAGTAAAGCCATATATATTCTTACACTGTTTTATAATTTTTAAAGTTATACACGATTTCCCACAGCTTCCAATTAGGAGGTACTACATGTTAATCAATAAACAAGTCACCATGTACGTCAGGAGTAGTAATTTTGAATAAAACAAGTCCCCGTAAATATGCCATGTAAAATAAATCTGAGTGTCATATGGTATGTGATGTACATAATTTTTTTACTAATCGTTAATACTCTTACTTACAGGAAGTTCATACATAGAAGAAGTTGAATTTTTGCACTCATCAAGTTATAGTTACCGTTTATCTTTTAAATTTACATTTGATGATACGGTTGTTATGTCAAGAGACATAATAAGTCGCCATCGGAGAAATTTCTGGATTTTCCAAAGTTAAAAATCACTTAAAAAATTTTTATTAAATATTTCGTGGTCCACAAATAAAGCCTGTCGTCAAGTAAAGATTTGTCATTCAAATACACGTACTCTGATGTTATGAGTCAGGACTTTGGATTAAAAAAAAACTGTCAGCGGCCACATAGATGCAAAATCTTTTATTTATCTATTTGCACCTTTCAAAATCGACCGTTTTGTGAAAATTGTCTTTAATTCTTAAAAAGTCTACAAGAGGAGCGAAAGATACCAAAGGGACATTCAAACTCATCGAAGTCGAAAATAAACTGACAACGCCATGGCTAAAAAAGAAAAAGACTAACAGACAAACAATAGTACACAAAACACAACATAGAAAACTAAAGACTAGGCCACACGAACCCCACCAAAAACTGGGGCTGATATCAGGTGCTCAGGAACGGTAAGCAGATCCTGCTCGACATGTGGCACCCGTCGTGTTGCTCATGTTAGTAAAAACTCGGTAATAAGTCTAATTTAGTAGGTCACATTCGGGAAAAGGGGACGGGATTGTAGTTACGACATTAGGAACATATCCGCTATCATCTGTGAAAAGGATATTCCGTAACGGTCAACCAACTCGTGATGGCGTCCGTAAAATTTACGAAGGGATAATTTCAACTTCACCACTTGAAACTCTTTGTTAAATAGCTTCCTTGTGAGCAGCAACCCTCTATCAAGGAAATCATGATAGGAAATACAAGCCCTGGATTATCGTATGAATTGGGAGATATATACTACGTATGCAGGCGCTGCTGGAATGTTGCTACATAAAATGGAAAGTTCACAATTGGGAAGCTGAAATCATCTCTTTTGTCATAAAGTTTTGTTTTCAACCGACCCTTATTGTCAATTTCTATATGTAAGTCAAGATATGAGGCAGATTTAACTGTATCTGTTGTATTTTGTATCTCAAGTTCGATGGGATAGATGCGTTCAACATAGTCACCAAATTTTGAATCATTTATTGAGGGGACATCATCTATGTAGCGGAAAGTAAAGTTAACGGATACTGCTAACTTCTTTTCTTTCTTCATAAGAAGTTCCTGTATGAAGACAGCTTCATAGGAATAAGTCAGCAAGAAGAAGGACACAGTTGGTTTCCATGGGAATGCCGATTGTTTGTTGAAAAACACGTACTCCAAACGTAACAAATATGTTGTCAATAAAAAAATCAAGCATCTTGATAATGTCAGTTTCAGAAAAATTTTTGTTAGAATCAGAGTGATTTTTTACTAAGTAGGATTTATTACTCTCTAAGACAAGATACTTGTATCTACGTTGGCCATTCTTTTTTGTATTTACTCTAAAAGATCTTTGGAATTTTTTAGTATCCACATCTGATTCACGCCACCTCTAGAATATGTAGTTTCACGATAACTTTGAAGCCCGGCTTTGATTGCTGACAAAATTGATGTAAATAATTTAGAAAGAGGTTTCGTGGAGCACTTGGAAGACCCAGCAATATACCGTTGTTTGTAAGGACACTTAGTAGCTTAGTTATCCAATACAGTGATGGACGATCCAGTTCTTCATCTTTGGTTGAAATTCAAAAGGAACATAGAACAGACCTATGATTATCTAGGATTTCCTCTTTAGTAAGTGTCGTGAGGGTTTATGTCAAATATCTCGAAGTTCTTTACTATATTGGAAGTACAAACACGTTATAAAATGTACAAAATCCTAAATTATACATCTACATTAAACTTTTAAAGCCCAAAGAAACAGATGTAAACAATTCAATTCAAATATACCAACTTGGCATTTTTTACCGTCTTTAATAAATAATTTCTTTTGTTTAAATTTCAACTGGGTATCAGCTAGTTATAAATCTGTTCTTTTAATTTTGTCTTATTTCGTATGCATGATGTGTCTTCGTTCTGCAAGTATCTTTATGTTGCAGCATTTGTATTCTAGATGACGCGATATACATTATATGTGTATTTTCACTATTTAACTCTAATTCTTAAGTATAGGTATTTTTTTATTTTGAACAGTATTCATAAACCACGATTGACATTGTTTTTATACTACTTTGTGTGTTTATGTTGATTCTTTTAATGACAAACTGGTACCTACAATGAATGTACGATGATATATTTGCATCTTTAATAAAAAAATTCATTGTTACTCAGAACTGTTAAAAATCAGTAAACCATATGTAAATAAAGTCTTTTATATAGTCAATTTAGAAGAATAGGTAAAAGATGATTTATGTTATGGATTATGGTCATATTGAATGACAAATTTCGTATCTCATCTCCTCTCTATAAACATTGGATCAGTTTGTCATTCACGAACCAGATTACAAAATATAGTAAAAAAGCGTTAGGTAAAAACATTGTGAAAACTATACTGACCATAAACGTTAAGAAATGTACTTTTGAATTTTATTATTTAACCGAAGTAGTTAGTTTACAACACGCATGTAACACACATGTGTTGTATCAGTAACCCTGCTACAATTACAAGGTTACACACATTTAAGTCATTTACATTAGAATAATATATAAGGAGAAGTAAAACAGCAAGCTCTTGTTGTTTGAAGTGTACATATTTCCTATTATACAAGGATGTGCTTTGGTCGATTTGTTACGTCCTCATTCAAAAAGTTGATTTATAAGTATTTAAGTGTGACACTTGATATTAATGTTAACGTTTTTAATTTCAATCCTAGCACTTACTTAAGGTTATCTAGGTTGATCAGCTCTTCAACGTTTGTATTAGGTTTTTGATTAATGAATAGCTTGGCTTTTCGTCGTTTTTGTTTTTGGCCTTTGTGCAGTCTGCATTTATTTTACCTATCCTTTTTTATTGCCCTTTGGTGCAATGTATCATCTCGTCTGTATCAAAGAGGTTATTCAATTTTTGTGAAGGAGAACATTTTTCTTTTATTTCTTATTTTGTATTTTTGAAAAACTGGTAAATTATTGCTAGTGATTTAGTAAAAACAATTATAAATTAGAAGCAACAGTAGTTTAACGATGTTGAAATATCATAAATCCATTAAAACGATACAAATCAAGATTAAAAAAAATCCAAAACAAAACAAAAAATAAGGGAATCGCATGAATTCGGAAAGGAGCGAAACCGGTTGCGACAAAAACAGGAATATATAGGCAAACCATGTTAAGTGTATTCTAACATGATACCACATCTGGTAGACTATCAGTCCCCGAGCGTACTGACTTAATTTATAACAAACCTTTCTAAATTTAAAAATAATTCAGAAACTTAGATTTCAACTCCCTCAGGCAAGGTTGAATTTAATGTATTTGGGTAGTATTTTTCGGTCCTTTGTGGTCATATCGTTCTTCAGATGTTTCGATTCTTATATATCCTTGGCTTTCAAATGTTTAGCTTTGAGTGTTCCTGATGAAGGTAAATTTAGAAAAGCGCTTCGAGCGCATAAAATGCATAAAGTGTTGTTTTCACTTGTTAACTAAATTTTATCATTGATAAAATACACAACACAATAAAAAGGGGGAGAATATACCCAGGGATAACAAGTCGAAGAACCGAAGAAATACAAACAGTATTATGGTCAAAACAAAACCTACGAAAAAACAAAGTTCATAAAAAACTTCATTCATGAATTGGATCCTTCAAACTGCAAGAAACGTTTAAATCTTCCATTGTTACCTTCTATACGGTTATAATTTGTAAGTACACGCAGTTTTGGAAAATAATGTGGTGTATCTTCTGTATCCATTATAAGGACTACCTTCAGGCCTTGCACAGCTTCACTTTCGGATTCAAAAATTTCAAAACGGATACCAATTAACATTATGTCCACATCACTTCCACTCAAATTTAGCCCTTCGTCTCTACTACCGCTGCTTATTTCGGGAAAAAATGTAAATGCATTTTGTGGGTGATTGTGGATATTGCAAATAATGAAACTCAGTCGTCTAGTCCGTACACCGACTTGTGTTCCAATTTTGTGACATACGTATTACAAAAACAGCAATGACTCTCTTCTACCCTCTGCCCTTTTTCCTTAATAAATGTGTGTTCCTGTAAAAGATAAACAACGATAATGTGACTTTGTTTGATTAACAAATTATGCTTACTCTACAAAAAGTCCGTTTACCGTTTTAACCGATTGTAACCATAAGCTACTACTCAGGAAACAAAAGGCTAAATCTTTGCAAAACAGATACTGTTGTCGTTTGTTGCTTTAAATCATATTTGTATTTCGTTAATTGTTTGTACATAAATCTGGCCTTTTATTTTTGAGCTGAGAATAAAGTCAGATCTATCATGACTTGAGCTAAAAGCAGATGAAAGGATAATTGTATGAATTAATGATTCTTTTTTATTCTACACCTGAGTCAGCTGGAAACAGTTTCTTGGATGTCACCCTCTCGTGTTGAACAAACAAAAATCAATAATTTGAAAAGACAATAATTAAAAATACAATAATACAAAAGACAAAGATGTTAATTTCCAATAAAAATTAAAAGAGAATTATCTAAATTTAATATGAATAATTTGAAAGACAATAATACATTAAATAATGCATGGTCAAAACGATGACAGAGCAGATGTTTCCTCTTTAACAACATTGTTAACATCAATCTCGCCTCGGTAGACGAAGTCTTCTCGGGGTATCCAGCTATCTCTAGCTCTCTCGGCACTAACTCAAAACCTTTAATATAAAGAA